CACCCAAAATAACCTGCTCTGTCTATCACACCACAACAGACTGATATACAATAGATGGTATTACTAATGTTGCATTACATAATTCTTAGGGTTTCAAAGTTAGAATCCATTTCTCCTGCCCTATCAGTTACTCCAACAACACATTAATTACAGTTTTGTTACACTGAATACTTACATGATTTGAAAATACCTATGATGCTTCAGGAAAAAAAAACAAAACACAACCAAAATGTTTTGTCTTCTCAAATACCAGTGCTCTTCAAAACTCAGTCTTTGTCACAAGATACTGGAGCTAAACAATCTACATCTGACAACCTACATAACTAAGGTTCAGATGTAGCTTATGTCACCCAGGGCAGCACTGTGAGATTGAGGATCCAAGAACCAGGCTTTCCTTCTTAGAAGGCTTTCATTGATAATCCCTAGCATTAATCAAAGATTAGCATCATCACACCTTTGTCTTGGCTACCTCCAACAACACTGCTCCATTTGGTAAGCATCATCTTGCTCAAGCCTCAATCTCCTCTGAAGCATTACTGGCTTACAGAAGCCCAAGACATTTAAAGTAATTAACATTCATCCAATAGCTAGTAATCAATATATACATGAAGATAAACGTGTATTTCCAATTCTGTGTCTTAACTGGTGACACAGCTTGAGACAAGAAGCATGCTTACAGCTTCTGAATGACATCAGCTTGTTTGAATTTAAGCATGGTAGCCATCACAACTATGGCTGGGGACAACTTTTGTTTAGAAAACCTTGCCTCAGGTAGTTACTAGGCGTTTCAAGAAGTTAAAATCTCTTAGCAATGCTTCAATGGCAGTATACATCAGTTTTTAACGAGACAGACGTACCTCCACGATCTTCTCCCTGTTTTTAGTTGGATTCATGGGAGGTTCTGTGAGTAATATTTTACAATTTTTTGTGTCAATATTAAGTTTTTCTGGTCCAAATGTGTAATCCCAGAGGTGCTTCATATCATCCCAGTTCCGAACTATGCCATTCTCCATTGGATAATTCACTTCCAGCATTGAGCGTAACTCACTTGCTTCATCACCAACCATAAGATCCTGTAAAAGTTCAGTAAAAACATGTCAGTGCTTGCAAAGTTTTGCAAAAAAAATTCTCAAGAATGAAAGTGAACTGCTCCAGTTTGTGCCCAGCTGTGTTCTTAAACAGTGCCCACATTTTGAAATAATTTTCAGGTACTTAGGAGAAAAGTAGAATATATTTCATGTAGTATTTAAATTTGGTTGTGACCCATTTCAAACCTTTTCTAAAATAAATTTGTTAATTCCATTCTCCAATTAACCTTAAACAAACCAATAAACCATGCTACAGCCAGATACCACAAAGACCTTTTTAAGTACAGATGCTTCTTCAGTGACACCTCAACAATTCTTTTTTCAAATACCAATTTCAAAAGGCTGAGATGCAAAATAGCACATAAGGGTAGTAGGTGGGATTGGCAGAATATTTTTCCATGCATGTTGCAAATTTCTGTGCACAATACCAAAAAAGGAATAATGAATGGTGAATAAGCATACTGAACAGTAGCAAAAGCAAATAAGAGATTATAAATTCCACACTAGACATTAAAAGAAACAAAGCTTTACATATTGTCTATGTCAGTAGGGTGTGAAGAGACACATCTAAATATAAAATATACCCTTGTCTGTTCCATGCCAAAAGTCCCAAGTCAAAAACCCCAGCAATGCATTCTTACACAACCAACTGATGCATAGTTTGTATAGTCATTTCACACCGATTAAGCAATCTGTTTATTAGTTATGCAAACACTACGCATTCAAATTAGTAACAGTATCTTCTCCTTTCCCACGTATTTCCCAGAGGAAGTATGCACAGTAACATCTTCTCTTTGCTCCCTATTATATCCCATACTTTTCTAAATAAACCTTAACTGACTTGTTCACATTTAGCCTATAAGAACGTATTCCTAGGCACCAACAGCACTGTTTCCATACTAGTATTATATTAATTTCATTGCAAAAAAAATCCAGCTGCTTCATGCAAAAATATGCCACTGCAGCTTGCAGCTATTGTGGCACAGAAAACTTTGAAGTGTTACTCAACCTACTACTCAAAGCTAGGGGAAAAAAAAAAAGATGTACAATGAAAAAACCTACATCCGGTTTATAATGCCTTTTTTAGAAGTAACCTAAACAGCTACTGTTGACCAAAAAAAGGAAGTTAATTGCAAATAATTTAAATCAAACCATTCCTCTTCCACCCCCTCCCTTTGACATTTGATTTGTTCTCCCTTGCACAGTAGATCACACTTCAGTTATCTGTCCAGAAGACAGAAGTCAAGACTTTAACATTTTAAATCAAACATACTCTATCTAGTGAAACCGCACTATGAAAACTCCATCATGCAGCCATGTTACTTCTGAGAATTTAAGATGACAAATTTTTCTTCCACTGGTTAGAAGAATCAAAAGCCTTTTTTGTGCACTGTTCTTTGAGGCTATATGCTACCAAACAGGACAGCCCAGGAAAAGCTGCTATTCCAATATGCAAGGAAAGTTGCACAAAACTTTCACATCCTTTTAAAACAAAGTTAAAGGGCAGAACAATTGTTCTCAAGAGCACGCTAACAAACATGTGCACTTGGTAGGCAAAGAGGAAGAAGGAGCATAACTGAATTTGCAGAGAGGAACCCATATAATGACTTTCAATGTTTCCACCACTTTGGTACTCAGTAATACTCATCTAACGTTTTTTCAAACTCTTGGTTTGTAAAATTAAATACAGCCATTTCTACTGTTAAAGGTGCTGAGCTCATGTTGATCTTTAAGAGTTATTCTTCCATCTTACAAAACTACAGGTTATGTAGCATTTAGAAGCAATACATAAAATATTCTCATTAATTAGTTGCTAGTAAACCAAAGCAATGAAAAACGTTCAAAATAAGTATGTTTCAAATGTAAAATGTAGGACAAGACAAAACAATGAAGAGCATCAAAAATAACATAACAGCTACTAGGTCCCATCAAGCAAAAATGGTAAACAAACAGCACAGGGGCACCTCACTTACCATCTTTTTGTTATTCTACTTCAACAGGTCAAGAAAGGTGAAGAAAGAGGGTAGAAGCAAGAAAGTCAGAAAAGGCCTACATTAAATTCTCACATTATTTTAAGTACACAGTAGAAACAGGCTGAAAGGAGATGCATGTACAGCAGGAAATGACCTGAATTAGTTTAGGTAGGGGCAAGATAGCATGCTCAGGATCTCAGATTAAAATGTCTCTTTAAAGGAAGCTATTGCTACATCATTGGCATGTCATGTTTATCCACTGCAAACAAGATCAGTGTATCTGCCTCTTTCTCATAAACAGGATTCTGTGCATAAATATTATGTAACACTGGAGTTATACCCTGGGCAAGGTGTTTATATGAACTAGACAAGACTCTGTGCAAGTCATTTGACCGTAACTAGCTCCAACAAATGCTAAATTTAAATTTTGTTTTAAATATTCTATTTTAAATATCAAAGATCTCAAAAACTATAATATAAAGTATTCACCTATAAGCAGACTAATCTGTTCATATATCATGGTACAAATACCCCCAAAAAAATAAAATAAGAGATATTTACTTCAATTATGGCATCTACTCTCAGAATGGAAATAAGCAATCCTGAAGTGCAGTAGTAAGAGCAATGTCCCAAAGCTCTTTCCCTATAGCAAGCTATGGAGGTAGAAAGGTAAGATAAAGTAGCTGGGAAGCACTGAGATATTTGAAGCGTACATGTACAAACATTGTCCAAAATTATACTAAAATTCATCATTATTAAGATGTAGCAGTAACAAAGAGGCTGATCAGAGTGTGGCCCTCTCCCTCACTCCAAAATCCAGAGAATTACCTTCTCCAGGCTGTCTTTGGCAGAAACTGAGCAGAACTGCAGGACACAGACTATGGCTCAGCAGGTCATTGGGTCTGATCTGCCCTGAAATCCTAATTGTTTTAGTTAATCAAAGCTACTCATCAGGCCTGCCTTCCTACAATGGTTATTAACTCCCAAACCTGCTTCAAAGATTAGTCAGAAGAGAAAAAGAGCAGCATCTATGCTGTTTTTAGAGTTTTAAGGTTACAATTTTAAGCTAAATAATCCCAGTAGTAACTGAACTTTCGTGTTATGTCCTGAACTGAGGACTCCAAGTAGGAAAAAAAGCTATATCCCTGTTGCAGGGCAAAATGAGAATCCAGAAGGAAGACATGGACAAAATAACTTGAAATTGATAACTTTATAGATGGATGACTTACCACTGTTTTGATCAGCTTCCAAACTCTTTTCACAGAGTTTCTGAATTTCACAGGAATGACAGCTTTTCTGAATAGTTTTGAAAAGTTAAACTGATAATCTTCTTGCCAGCTTCCTTTACTTAGTTTTAAACTTATCCCGTAAGAACTTGCAGTGAATAGCTAGAATTAAATTCTGGCATAGAACTCATCTGCTGAAATGCAGATTTCCTAAAAAAATGTAAGAAACTCACAAAGAAAAACAGCACTCGCACTTCACGAGTCTTCCTACTGTATTATCCTACTGGGATACCCCAAGTATCTGTGGCGGGGATTTCTTCTCTAGAGACACTGTTTCCTTAAGAAAGGGTGACAAACTATTATAGGCAGATGCTATAAAACTTCTAGGAAGAATCTAGACAGTCTATACTCTCTAAAACACACCCATGTGATCTATGCTCAAGCAGATGACGGTCAAGGCATGCAAAATTATAGTTTACTGGTTCTTTCGCACCGATCTCATAGCAATTACCCACTCCTATCTTTCCAATTCAACATCGTCATCTGTAATGATACTAAACTAAGTAATCAGATAATCAGAGGATATCAGAACTGGCAGGACAGGCTGCATCAGATCAGCTGGAAAGAAAACATTACTTCAAGAATGAGATTTCATGCAAGATATTTTTTTTCTTGGACTTAAGACTTGTAAATCACTGTATAACTGTCATAAAACTTTATCAAGATCTCCTTGAAGAAACTGTCACATTAAGTTCAAGTAGGTATCTAAAGAAACACCTCTCCATAAATACATTGGCAACAAAAGGAGAACTAAGGAAAGTCTTCCTCTTCTAGTAGATGTGGGGGGAATCACAGTGATCAGAGATGAGGAAAAGGCTGAGGTACTTAATGCCTTCTTTGTCTCAGTCTTTAGTAGGAAAACCAGTAGTACTCTGGGTACCCAGTCCCCTGAGTGGGAAGACAGGCATGGAAAGCAGAGTGAAGTCCCCATAACCCATGAAGAGGTGGTTAGCGACCTGCTACACCACATAGATATACACAAGTCTATGGGGCCGAGATGGGATCCACCCCAGGGTCCTGAGGGAGCTGGCAGAAGTGCTCACCAAGCCATTTTCCATCACTTGTCAGCAGTCCTGGCTAACTGGGGAGGTCGCAGTTGACTGGAGGCTTGCAAACGTGAGGCCCATCTACACGAAGGGCCGGAAGGAAAACCCGGGGAACTACGGACCTGTCAGTCTGACCTCGGTGCTAGGGAAGGTGATGGAACAAATAATCCTGAGTGCCATCACACGGCACATGCAGGACAACCAAGCCATCAGGCCCAGTCAGCATGGGTTCAGGAAGGGCAGGTCCTGCTTGACTAATCTCCTTTTATGACAAGGTGACCTGCTTAGTGGATGATCCTTTTGGCTGTGGTCGTTGTATACCTGGACTTAAGTAAGGCCTTTGACACCG